AACCAATGTACAAAATGTGAAGTATAGCACACAACAAAAACAGATTAGATCACAAGGCACAACAAAGATATTTAACAATGCAAAATAACGTCATGGCGCTGTTTGAGGATGCGTATATTATCTAACCAATTAAAATTTGTCTTTTGTTAGGCACTAAGCGCGTATCTTTACAAAGCCCAAAAATCGCATACTTTCGAAAATAAATTTAAAAAAAATAGTAATAGAGAAATATCTATAAACAATGTTTTATGATCATCGAATAAAACAAAGAAATGAAACAATAAGTGTAGTTTGTCCAGATACTCTTGTAAAAATAAATTTATTGCAAATAAATACGACAATGGAATATTTTGACACAACAGAAATGGTTATTACAATACATTTAATCACCTTTGTGTAAGCCAATTTCGCGCAACAGTGTCCTTTGTACCTCTTAGCTTTTTCCCGTCATGCTTGCAGATTTTTTTCTGTGCGACAAGTTTTGATGAATACATGTATATACGGTAACATGGTGTTGAAAATTTCTGGCTTAAGGGCAAAATGTTGATTAAGTGAAACTTTGGATGATAACACAGAATGGACATCATACAATAACAAAGGCGCATCTTTGAACAATCACTTTTGACCTAATGTCAAAAATGTTCATCAAGGATCCTATTAAATCTAATGTAGGAAAGCCGTTTAATACTCATTTACAGTTTTACTTAATGCAAAATACATATTTTCAACAATTTTCTTCCACATATATTATGATTGATTTAGAAATGCATTAATCTAGGACTGTCGTGAACAAAATACAAACAAATATCCGTGCCGGAAAGGTTTTGCTAAGGTTTTGCTAAACCTTTTTGTGGCGATCGGTAACAAAATACAGTCAGGAAGCACGCATTTGTTATATGGTAAAACACGTAAATGGAACAAACATCCAAATTATCTGTGCTGTAAGAGTGACTTATATTCAAAACAAGATAATTGAAAAGGGTATGCCTATTTTCACATTTCATTTCACATAATAATGACACAAGATTGATGTTTAAATGATCATCATATATACATCATGAGCAAAATATTTGAAAATCATCTACAAATCATTTAAGTCGGCTTTTTCTTTGTAACATCGTGGGATTCACAATTTTCCCATCAGAGTGCTACCAGCAATAAAACATTCATTTATAACATGTATAGAACCAAGGTATCCATAAATTTCTAGCGTCGTAAAGAGTTTTTTCGACAACTGTTCCAAACAGCATGGATTTGTTTCATAATTATTCAAAACAACTATTAACCAGTTAAAATAATTATTGTTTTCTGCATTTGACAATAGTCAAAGAAAAACATAAAACAAGTATTTTAATTTAACCTGGAAGAATTACAATATTAACGTATTTTATCATATATATCAAGTACTTGTATAAAAGACATCCATATTCAGCCGTTCTTTTCTCCCTTAATTAATATTTTATATTATACAAAGTTTGCTGTGAATCACAAATATTTCATATAGGGAAAATATATATATAATACCTCAAAGTAATACATCACTAACTGAAATACGAAGATTTTGTCATACAATAGCACGTAAGAAAACAATCAGTTTTTACTTTTTACAGTCTTCTTTAAATGGGAATTTACTAATTGTTATGATATATTGCATTTTTCCTGCATGGTTTGACAGTGAAACAAAATATTTTAAGCTCAACCTGGTTCATTTATTGCAAAAGAATCTGTTAGAAAATATTGTCTTTCAATATAACAAAAAAAATGAAAGTCCTCACGCACTTTTATTTAAATTTCAACGTTTCGCTACCCTAATTGGAACAATAATCAACTATAAACTGTTCCAACGATTTCAAAACCAATTTGAAAACAAGAGTCAGGACTGCGACAATAGCATCATTACAAGCTTAATCGCTAATTGTTATTTCCTGTCTGTAATTTGTCAAGATAGATAGATAGATAGATAGATAGATAGATAGATAGATAGATAGATAGATAGATAGATAGATAGATAGATAGATAGATAGATAGATAGATAGATAGATAGATAGATAGATAGATAGATAGATAGATAGATAGATAGATAGATAGATAGATAGATAGATAGATAGATAGATAGATAGATAGATAGATAGATAGATAGATAGATAGATAGATAGATAGATAGATAGATAGATAGATAGATAGATAGATAGATAGATAGATAGATAGATAGATAGATAGATAGATAGATAGATAGATAGATAGATAGATAGATAGATAGATAGATAGATAGATAGATAGATAGATAGATAGATAGATAGATAGATAGATAGATAGATAGATAGATAGATAGATAGATAGATAGATAGATAGATAGATAGATAGATAGATAGATAGATAGATAGATAGATAGATAGATAGATAGATAGATAGATAGATAGATAGATAGATAGATAGATAGATAGATAGATAGATAGATAGATAGATAGATAGATAGATAGATAGATAGATAGATAGATAGATAGATAGATAGATAGATAGATAGATAGATAGATAGATAGATAGATAGATAGATAGATAGATAGATAGATAGATAGATAGATAGATAGATAGATAGATAGATAGATAGATAGATAGATAGATAGATAGATAGATAGATAGATAGATAGATAGATAGATAGATAGATAGATAGATAGATAGATAGATAGATAGATAGATAGATAGATAGATAGATAGATAGATAGATAGATAGATAGATAGATAGATAGATAGATAGATAGATAGATAGATAGATAGATAGATAGATAGATAGATAGATAGATAGATAGATAGATAGATAGATAGATAGATAGATAGATAGATAGATAGATAGATAGATAGATAGATAGATAGATAGATAGATAGATAGATAGATAGATAGATAGATAGATAGATAGATAGATAGATAGATAGATAGATAGATAGATAGATAGATAGATAGATAGATAGATAGATAGATAGATAGATAGATAGATAGATAGATAGATAGATAGATAGATAGATAGATAGATAGATAGATAGATAGATAGATAGATAGATAGATAGATAGATAGATAGATAGATAGATAGATAGATAGATAGATAGATAGATAGATAGATAGATAGATAGATAGATAGATAGATAGATAGATAGATAGATAGATAGATAGATAGATAGATAGATAGATAGATAGATAGATAGATAGATAGATAGATAGATAGATAGATAGATAGATAGATAGATAGATAGATAGATAGATAGATAGATAGATAGATAGATAGATAGATAGATAGATAGATAGATAGATAGATAGATAGATAGATAGATAGATAGATAGATAGATAGATAGATAGATAGATAGATAGATAGATAGATAGATAGATAGATAGATAGATAGATAGATAGATAGATAGATAGATAGATAGATAGATAGATAGATAGATAGATAGATAGATAGATAGATAGATAGATAGATAGATAGATAGATAGATAGATAGATAGATAGATAGATAGATAGATAGATAGATAGATAGATAGATAGATAGATAGATAGATAGATAGATAGATAGATAGATAGATAGATAGATAGATAGATAGATAGATAGATAGATAGATAGATAGATAGATAGATAGATAGATAGATAGATAGATAGATAGATAGATAGATAGATAGATAGATAGATAGATAGATAGATAGATAGATAGATAGATAGAGAGAGAGAGAGAGAGGGAGAGAGAGGGAGAGAGAGGGAGAGATAGATAGAGAGATAGATAGAGAGATAGATTAAAGGCTATCTTCATTTTGTCGACCAAATAAATACTAGTTCTGGTCTCCAACCTTAAAAGAGTGGTAGGAAGGCAACATTTTTTAATATCTGTTAAATAATGTTTCATATGCATGTATAAAGAAAAAATGAACTGTAAATAAAAAAATCATAAGGGTTGATGAAAAGGAATGTAGGTAGTAAAACACAGAACTTAACTTTTATATTTGGCCTGATAGGAAATACAGAATTAATGTGACAAAAGAAGACATGATTGTTCATGATTCAAAATTCTTTATAATTTTAGTACCAAAAATTTCAAAAAGCCCATTACTCATTCAATTTTACTTTTTCAAGTTTTTTTGAAAAAAAAAAACAACGTCTATTGAATATGAAATAAATATGGAAAATGGTTAAATTCATGATTATTGAAAATAATTTCTATCAGCTTATAAGATAGGAATATTTATTATTGTTTGATCTACTTTACTACAATCAAGAGATTTTAATCGGATAGCATGCTCAAAAATTCCCAGTATTTGCATCATGATAGTAAAAGAAGAGCCTGGATTATGTACAATTTCCTAAGTTCAAACAAGGCCATAGTTCTGTCAAAATCCATTTCCTAGTTATGGGCGGTATTGAACCAGATTTTATCAACGATATATATGATTAAGTATTTTTAATTGATGGGAATATTTCATACGTTAAAAGCAGCATGCCTCCAGATTCATTCTAACTTTCATGAAAATTTTTAAAATGTATTTAAAAGTAAATATTGTGAAATGAACAAAGAAAGTAATTTACACATTGCAAATGGCACTTATAATCCACGTAAATTACCAAAAAGGGGTCAAAATATACATGATAAATACCTCTTAGCACGTTCGTAATTAACGCAGTTAAATTAAAATGATTGATACTGCAAAATCAGACATTAATCGCACATAACATGTAAATAATTAATCAAAATATTGAATCGTTTTACTTTTCTTAAGATATTAATACATTTTCCTAAAGATTGAATTTCTTGAAATATTTTGGATTATCTGGAGATGTGTAGCTTTAAAGTGTCTTCAATAAAGAAAGGTCTATAAATAAAGTCTATTTCAATAGACTACATACACTAAATTGAGGTCATCTGAAATGAGGAATATAAGATTACGTGTCTGTTGTTCAGATTTTTTACATAAATTATACTCTGAGGTCAGTTCCCTTATCTTATTTTAACGATAGTGAGATATCTTGCATCGTCTGCTAAAAAAGCGTTGTAACCACACTTCATATATTTTGCGTCCTAGACAGTCGCAAAAATGTCTGTTTGTTCATTTTGCGTGATATATTTAATGTGTTTTTGTTATTCTAAAGCTTTGTCCGTTGAAGAAAGGTTAATTAAGGTAGAACAAATGTTGGAGCATCAAGAGAAAATAATCCGGGACCAAGAAACCACCATTAAAAGCCACGAGAAGAATAATGCTGATCTTAAATTGCGATTAGAAGTGCTTGAAAGGGATATGAGAAAACACGAAATACTAACACATGCTAGAGAAGTCACGAACGATAGTGTAGAAAATCAACGCGGAGATGATGTTGTTGAAAATGCTTTCAACAGCGACTTAGATCACAATTAAAGACATGAGGGCAGCAGACGATATTCAAATCACCTCATCCAGTCTGAACCGCATAATTAAGCGTAAGTAATATGCATGTGTGCCTTGTATAACAAAGAGATTAAAGGAAATTTAAGATTAGTTTATGTTCTGTTTAGTACTTCTTTTTATTTCCTTTATATTTAAACAGGTATTAGAAATATAAAAATATAAGCTATGATATAACAATTTGTGCGGTCTATCACTTTATTGAGACTGATATTATGTTACGTACATTTGAAAAATATTGTGATGTTTTTGATAAATGAGCAAAGGAAAAATTGTAAACAAGCGTTCCCGGTTTTATTTCAGGGCAATCGAACGGAATTGCATTCCATGCTTACATCACTGGAAGTAAATGCGTCCATGACAAACAAGTGGTTGTGTTTGATACAGAGGCAGTAGATGAAGGTAATGGTTACAGTCCAACAGACGGGATATATGTCGTGCCAGAAACCGGGACGTATGTGTTTATGTGGACTATGTTTTCGTCGTATCAGGAATGGTCCATAACTGACATAATTGTTGACGGAAGAACAAAAGGATGGATAACGACAGATGATCAAAACGATCAGGCAACTGGAATAGCTATTGTTCATGTAAACACGGGTATCCATGTATTTATCCGAAGAGATAGGGGCAGTGGCTGCACCATACACGATGGCATGTCTCGACCAACGTTTACAGGATGGAAACTGTTTTAATTACTTGAGATACTATGTAGATTTTGCCTGAACTTAAAGTATATTACACGAAATCTATATATTGTGTTCCCTTTTTATTTGTTTGGGTCGTCAGACCAAACAAATAATGGTAGCTAATGCTGTTAATTGCAAATGCCGAAAGTAGTCCGCTTTTTTGAAGCGGTTACTTCCCTTTATATGTAACACTAAGGCCGAAAATTCAGGGGAGATCACTGCGTAAATATGGTCACATGAAAGGCGCATTAATTTTCAAGCAAAATAATTCCCGAATGGTCGAAGATTTCTAATATTGTTTTATTCTTTATAGATATACATGCTTATAGTAAACGCCATGATTATCTACACCTAATTTAGAATAATATGCTTTTCTTCATGCCATGAACATATATATTCACCGTGGCCGAGGGGTTTGCGCGCTCGCTGAGGAAGCGAGAGGTCTGGAGTTCAAATCCCAGTTAAGGCAACTCATTTTTTTTTTCAAATTGTTTAAATCAAATAAACATTGGATTGAATATCAGTGTTGCAATTAGTCTTATAGCAAATCTACTACAATTAAAACGCTGGAAAGCATTGGTGGCACTATACAAAAACAAATTGTTTTATAATCTAACAACCTTCACCTTTCTGAAATTCTGAGACCCAAACAAATTCAGCGCCTTCTGTGCTTTGATTTAAAGACTGCCGTTGTTACGAGGCAAGAAAAAATAAGATAAGGATAATAACCTATTAAAACCAAATATCATAAGTTTAAATTTCTGTTGATTTAAACTTAACACTTCTCAACAACAAATGTTCATACTGCGATCTAATATCTAAAATAAATAAGGCACAAAATACCAAAAGAAAAAGCTGTCAATTATGTATGTTTTCCTTTGTAAGAAAAAATTATTTTATACCGAAATCTTATATTGGATATTTCCCCACTGTCATGTTAACCTGTTAATACTCTGCAAAAAGAAAAGGTTAAGCTAAATTGATCCAGACTTATTTATTTATTGCAGAACAATCTGGAAGATATTGTGGCTGATTTCTACCATTTAGTGTCTTCGTGTCTTCCGCCCCCCAAAAGTCGAATGCAAAGTAATATGCTCACTTATCGATAATTTCGCTTTTGACTTTTGAGAGCGGCGACGCGAAGACACAGTGCATTTTAGGCGAAATAACCATATTTCAAAGGCGAAGACTTGACATCTTTTTTTGTACAAGTATCATGTTGGTGCGTAGTGCGTAGAGATCTTCGTGTCGGCGCTTTATATTTGTTGTGTCAATTATCGAGTTTCATGTCGTCTTGTCTTTGATCCGAAAACCGAAGACACGTTACTGACAATGTTTCGTGCCGTCGTCTTCGCCTTCTGGTAGACATTCACAAATATATTAAACATTATTTATAAAATAACAGTGTCATTATTGTGAAAATAAATATTTATTCAGTAGGCACCAAGTCCATTTTTGTAATAGGCTATAGTCCCACTTTGTTTACTTCAAGTCAGCATATGTGTTATTGTTTTGGCGCATGTCTACCCGAAGGTGAAGACACGACGACACAAAGATTCGATAAATTGGTCGATTTTCGTGTCTTCACCATTTTGCGGCAAAGACAAGACAAATATTGGGTGCCAAAATGAAAATTTTTACCGGCCGACATGTATCCGAAATTTTTATTTCACCTAAATGTATTGTGTCTTCTTGTCGGCGCACACACATGTTGAAGGCCTTAATAAGTAAGCATATTATCGTGAATTTGTGCCGTTGCCTTAGTCTTTATAGAGGCAAAGACACGAAGACAAGATATGCAGAAAGAAGCCACCATAGGCAGATATTCGACAATTGAATATTCCGATACAACAGAAATAGGTTTTTACAAAACCTTTTATCGGCTTTGTTTGAGCAGTTTACTAAAAGTATTGTAATTATCGTAAACAATTTTATTAAAGGTTGGTTTTCTCGACCATTAGAAAATAATGACCACGAAGAACAATGAATACATACAAATAAGGGATAACTAAATAAATTGCGGACATATATAACAAATTTCTTGTGGTTATACAATACAATACTGATTTCAACGAGTAACATCGCAACGTGATAACGTCCTTACGTTGCAATGTTCATAGTTTCGTTTCGTTGCATTTTAACATAAAGTGTAAAATATTTATGTCTTGTAACTATCTTTCACAGTTTAGTTATGATGACACGTTTTTAAGTGACGGATCCTATTATTTCTTTTCATTTCTGATATGATTCCTCATCGCGTGATATCAGTTAAGATATTGAACAACTTAATAGTAAATTGTGGAGAATATTTTTCATGATGTTTGTCAGTAATTAACTGACAATAACGCAGAAAAAAGAAATATACACATGTTTGATGGTCGTCAAACAGGAAAGTATATGAAAACAAGGCAGAGCGACGTCCGCAAAACACAGCCACCGACAAAATTCAGTCACAATGGACCAGTGAAAAGATACCTAGTAGAACATCGAACACAGAAGACAGCTCAAAAGTCATGGAGTTGGCATACAAATAAATGATAGCAATTTACAACAAGGAAATCAATAAAAAAAAATCAGTCATGTGAAAATAACATTTTTACTGTAAAATTGTAAAGAAATAAATTTGATAATCATTGATCTTTTCGCAATTTAATATTTGACAAATCAATGACAAAAACTGAGCAAAAAAAATTAACACGATATTTTTATGTATTGAAACTTTATTTTGAAAATGTTAAAACATTTATACGGTATTGCAGAAACATTCTTTGTCTTTATTGCTGAACTTCAAAACTTACAGATTGGATTAAAGAGTGGAAGAACGACTAGAATAGTCGACATTCAAATCGTAAAAATATGAACAATACCAATTTATATCTTCAATAACGGCAAGAAAGCTCAATCCAAAAACCGAATGTGTCATGTGCATGATGCTTTCAGTATGAACATATTCAAAAATTTAAACTAAGCGATCTGGACAGAATATGGGCGGACGTTATGAATATTCGTGACTCAGTAGCCATTTTGTCAGCTTGCAACTTCTCACTCGCGAAAACAAAGTGTGCAAACACTTCCCGTCCTGCCTCTTGATGAGTAACCAACAAAGGTTCAGCCTATTTTGACAAGCATGTTCCATTACCTTAACAGACGGTTGCAAGATAACGTTACGTATCAAGTACATTAATCTCGATATGCACGTTCCATGTTTAAGTTACGGACATTGTAGAAAAGTTCAGATCAACGGATTTTGACAGATATCATTTGTGATTTAAACCATTTTGTAGAGAGCCATCATAAGCTAATTTCTACAGAGAATAGCAAAACATATAAGCATAATTATGATCAGTAGGAGATGGGTTTGACGATCTACTGACGATCGTCATCAACGTTCACAATAACTTACCTCTGAATTCTTTGAGCTAAGGTGAGCTATAAAAAGTGTTAGACAAAGTATTTAAAGCATACGACAGTTCTATAAGCGTATATTATTATTATCATTTAACTCTTGATTTATGTATGACACATGTTTCAAATGTTATCAATATAGGACATTGTTTTGACAATAGAAGAATTTCCGTTTATACTCTTCATGAATTACGAAGCACTTTGACTATTATAGTCAGGTTTAGGAACTGCGTCGTATACATAAGCTGCCATTTTTGTTTAATATGTTGTTTTTTTGTTTTTTTTTTGGGGGGGGGGGTTAATCCCTTTTTCATGTTGGAAATCACTAATAATCTGATAAACTGATAACATGCTAAGCTTTTTTCGCTTCGTTTGGTATATGTTACTAGCAAACTTATTTTCCACAGTTTTGAGGCTACAATGCAGTTCATGTCGCTTTATCCATCGTTCCCCCCTCCCCCACAAACTATTTCTTTCAAAGTTTAAAAAAAAATTAAACAACATTTTGCGTTAGTTAATGTGTCATTTAAAAGAATTGCCCTTTTTACTCCAAAATCATGATTTGTACAAAATGCATATATTTTAAGTATAGAACACAACAAAAACAGATTAGATCATAAAATCAAATCTTTCCACAACAAAGATATTTGACAATGCATAATAAGTTACTTACGTCATGGCGCTGTTTAAGGATGTGTAATCTATCTAAACCATTCAAATTTGTCTTTTGTTAGGCACTAAGCGCGTATCTTTACAAAGCCCAAAAATCGCATACTTTCGAAAACAATAGGGGCCCATGATGGCCCTGAAGTCGCTCACCTGTATATAGGCCCCCGGAGCGGGGCCAGTTTAAACCCCAGGGCTTTTATTTTAACAAACTTGGTAGACACTTACTAGAAAATGTTTCATGCTTAATATCTAAACTCTAGCTATTCGGATTTTATCAAAGAAGATTTTAAGTTTTTGCTATACACATATAAGGAAAATCAATGTCCCCCGGGGCGGGGCCAATTTTGACCCCCAGGGCTTTTATTTGAACAAACTTTGTAGACACTCACTAGAAAATGCTTCGTGCTTAATATCTTAACTCTAGCTATTTGTGTTTTTTCAAAGAAGATTTTTAAGTTTTTGTTATACACATATAAAGAAAATGAATGACCCCGGGGTGGGGCCAATTTTGACCCCAGGGCATTTATTAGATCAAACTTGGAAGACACTCACTTGAAGATGTTTCATGCTTAGTATCTTAACTCTAGCTATTTGTTTTTTTTTCAAAGAAGACTTTTAAGTTTTTGCTATACACATATAAGGAAAATCAATGTCCCCCGGGGCGGGGCCAATTTTGACCCCCAGGGCTTTTATTTGAACAAACTTTGTAGACACTCACTAGAAAATGCTTCGTGCTTAATATCTTAACTCTAGCTATTTGTGTTTTTTCAAAGAAGATTTTTAAGTTTTTGTTATACACATATAAAGAAAATGAATGACCCCCGGGGTGGGGCAAATTTTGACCCCAGGGCTTTTATTAGAACAAACTTGGAAGACACTCACTTGAAGATGTTTCATGCTTAGTATCTTAACTCTAGCTATTTGTTTTTTTTCAAAGAAGACTTTTAAGTTTTTGCTATACACTTATAAGGAAAATTAATGACCCTCGGGG